GGGGGAAATTATTTGGTTTGTTTAAAATGAGGAAATTCAAGCTCACAGGATGTAAGCTGTGCAAAGTGAAAGAACTGGAGCCCAGAACTGGCTCTAACTGTTGTGCTGTTTCTATAATATCACAGTGCCTGACCTACCCACCGTTGTTTCCCCAGTGTACATTTAACATTGGACAATTTTTGTAGGATTTTCTGGAGATTCTTGGGGATAATGGAGCAAGGTCTCTATCACATTGAGTATTAAGTGTCTTAATACTCAGTTATTGAATCTCCCTTTGGGATTCTAAGTTGGGAATACACATGTTTTCTTTTCTGGCATGATCAGGGTGCTCAAGAATCTGTCCTCCATCATCTCTCTTCTTTGAATTGGGTTCCTTTTCAGGTGAGCTGTCCATGCGGTGGCCCAGTTAACTATTAACAGCAAAAGTCCCTCTCATTGACCTGGCACCATCAATACCCATCATTGAATCAAGCACGTGTACAGAAGATTGCTGTCCTTTCATTGTCACATATCCCTTAGTTTCTGGAATAGCATTATATTTATCCAGTATTTGAATGGAGAATGAGGGAGGGATGGTTCCTGAAAGGAAGTGATGGGTACTGGGTCACCAAACAAACCAAAACTGAATGAAATAACGGTTCACCTACCCAGGCTAATTATTATTCATGCAGAAGACAACAGGGAGGCACCCTTAGATATGCTAGGATTCAGAAAATAAACTGTCAATTCTAAAATTCTTTGTGAAGAAATAAAACTGAGAAACGAATTAAAATCTCCAAGATGGAAATTGTGCTAGAAAAGATTCTTTGTGAAGAAATAAAACTGAGAAACGAATTAAAATAAAATCTCCAAGATGGAAATTGTGCTTTAAAAGAAAAAAAAAAACCCTTAGAGTTAATGTATAGATTATAGCTAGTAATATTGTTAAAAATTTAACAAAATGAGAGGGAAAAGTCCTCTTTAGAGAGCTAAGGTTAAAAAAAATTGTAGTAATAACCTAGGCAAAAAACTTTAGTTATCTTGATGAAAATATTTAGATTGGGTTAAATATGGAAGGAAGAGAAATGTGAAATATGGGAGGGTAAAAACAAACTGGACTCACCAGGATAAACCTTATCTCTCACCACCTCTAATAAGCTGGAACCAGCTGCATATGCAATAAGATCAGAATTCTGAGAAACAGGAGGAGACCCATTGGGAGCAGAGAGCCTGGCTACTGCCTACACCAATAAGGTTAGTCAGCAGTAATTGTCAATTTGTGAGCTAGAGTAGTACCTGGCCCTACACTGACCTTTCATCTGAAAAAATTACTGCTCCTTTATTTCTGCCTTTCAAATTCATTGTAAATTTCCTTTGGGATCAACTCTAACCAGTAACTATATAAGGAAGGAAGATATTGGGTTGTCAAGAAAGTCGTGATGCATTTTTGCATAGAAAAACATATAATAGGAAAAACATATCATGACTTTTCCGATAACTCAGTATGTGAAATGTACATACACACACAATAATATGTAACAATGTTACACAATTCAACCTAATGGCAATATATTATAGATAGTGATATCACATTTAATTTCTATAGGGGAAGATTGTATCACAGATCAGTTCTCCTCAAATTAATCTATTAATTGAATATAGTTTCAACCAGAACTCAGTCATTTTTTCAGTCTAATAAAATTGTTCTTAAGTTTATCCAAGAATTCAAAGGGAAAGGACAGTCAATAAAATGATGAAACAGAAGTACTGAGAAGGTATTTGTTTTACCAAATAATAAAAGAGTGTACAACCAATATCAGAATATATAAATGTAGAAGTGGAAGTAAATAGGAAGTCCAAACCAAGACAAGTGTTTAAGATTTAGTATAAGGTAAGGTTAAGATTTCATATCAGTAAGGAAAAGTAAACCATCTGGTAAATGTTACTTATGTAATTAGTTTTGTTAAGAAGAAAATATGGTTGGATTTTATTCCATGCTCTTTACAAAAGTAAATTTCATATCAATTATACGTTTAAATGAAAAAATTAAGTTGCTAATGTATTAAAATGTAGGATATTATTTCTACTATCTTAGTATGAGGAATTTTGCTCTTGGCACCAAACAAAAGTATGCTATTGATAGATTTGATGACATAAAAAGTGCGCATTCATGCTGTGAAAGTTATTATGCTAAAAATGAAAAGATAAAGATGTCAAAGTGGGAATCTATTCACGATAGAAATGTAGGAGTCAATATTTATATATAGAGTGCTCTTAAAAATCAATAAGAAAATGAATAGGCTGATGTAAAAAATGACAAATTACATGATCAGGCAATTCATAAAAGCTAAAGCTAATGGGTATATTTTAAAAATTGATACTCAGTAGTAAGAATAAATAGAAAATGAAAGAAATTTCCCCTTAACTAATTGACAAAGATGAAAAAGACTAATATCGCATGATGCTTATTGGGGAACAGAGAAAAATGGCACTTTCAAAACTCAATGGTTGGAGGGAACCAGCAGTTAGCGTAATGGCTATGTCACTGGACTCCCATGTAGTCGACCGCGGTTCGTGTCCCGGACCCGGTGGCTTAAAACTCATGCCGGGCGCGTGTGCGTACGTGCCCAAGATCCCAAGAGGAGAATGGAAGAGAAGGGATTGCGGCGTGACCATCCTCTCAGGGGATGATTTCTTGCTTTCTGTCTCTATGTCTCTGTCTGTCTGGCCAGCACACGCGCCCTATAGCGAAAAGACCTCTGCAAAACACACACACACACACACACACACACACACACAACCAAAAAAACCCTCAATGGTTGGAGTATAAATCAGTGCAAGCTTCCTAGAGGGCTACTTGACCACCTCTATCACAATTTTGCAAGTGTGCGAGCCTTTTGACATTGTGATTCTCCTTCTGGGAAGGAATGCATTTTAAGTAGATCATTGAGTTAAACATGGTACATTGAATACATGGATTTCCCTCTGCCCCATCTTAAAACTCTACTAGACTGACATAAAGTTAAAAGAGAAGTATAAAATAATGAGGAGTTGACAACAGAATAGAGTTGTCAACACAGCTTTGGAAGTTGAAAAATGGATGCACGAGCAGAGAAAGGCAAGTGGAACACATGCGTTTAATTTTGCTCTTTTCTGAAATCCCATCAAAGCTACAAAAAAAGAGGGATTGCTTTAGAAAGCCTGACTTCAAAGGGTGGGCAGAATGGGAGAAGAGAAAGGTACAACAGTTCTGTAAGCTGGAAAGTCAATAGAATGGCAATTTACTAGATAAATCTAAGAAATCTAGAAACTCACCTGGACTGTAACAGAATCTTCAAATGACCCGGGTTGGAGGCCTATAGTACCTCTGGAAGGAAGAGAGGGAAGGAACGTGTGTGGTTATCATAAGAAGGGTTACTTGAAAGCAGTTTCAGAAGCAATTAGATCTCTAGGTCCCCTCTCTAACTCTGGTACTGTCTGCCTTTTCCCTGCTCTAATAAAATTACTGGAGTTTGTGATCTGAGGAAGACCGTTAGCATTCCTTGACTTTGGCCACATCACACCAGTCTCTGCCTCTGTGGCCACATTGCTTCCTCTGCTGGGTGTATAATCTCACTCTGTGGTTTCTCTCTCTCTTCCCTCTTTTAATTTGCTACAGGGCATATGTACTTCCTGGAGAGATACAGAGGTAGAGAGACAGGGAAAGTGAGAAAGCATGCTCCCTGGGGGGTGACTACACAGTAATCCCTTCTCCATTTCTCCCTTCAGGAATTGAGCATGCTCACATATGAACCTAGTATGTTTTCAAGCAACCATGACCAGGAATTGAAGAGTATAGTCAATAATGTGGGATTCGACCACCTTGACCACCATGCCACTGGCTGATCCTTCTGCTGTCTCTCATATGAACACTTCCAGTTGCATTTTGGACCCATTCTGATAATCCAGGATAATCTCTCATTTCAAAATCTTTAATCTAGTGATAATTTTATCTGCCAAGACTTTTTTTTCCAGATAAATTAAATTTATAGGTTCCAGGATATAAATACCTTTTTGGAGGCCATTTTTCAGCCTGCCACATAAGTTAAATTAAATTTTATTGATTTTAGAATATTTTTTAAAGATTCATTTATTTTTAATTCTATTTATTACCACCATTCTTCAATTTTGACCAGAGAGAGACAGAAAAGAGAATGTGAAAGCAGGCCACAAGGTCCAGGACCTGAACTGTGGTCATCCATATGGGAGTCCAGCGCCTCAACCACCCCTAGCCCCTGATTTTAGAATATTTAAACAACCTTACATTTCTGGGATAAACCCCATTTAGTTATATTTACCACCCTTTTTAGAGACACTGTTTTCATCTACTCTTTGTTGCTTGATTACAGAATATCTAAAACACGGTGATTTACAATAGAAGTTTATTCAGATAATGGTTTGTGGGTACATGGGGCTGCATCTGGTGAGAGTCTTCCTGGTGGATAACATGGCGGAGGAGATCACATGATGAGACAGAGCAAATGTGTGTTGATGTCCATGTGTCTGCCTCATTCCCTCTCCTCATAAGCTCACCAGGATTCAGTCACAGGGACTCATGAAATACACTGGTCTGCATTTTTTGGTAGTCGTTGTTAGATTTAGATATGATACTTATAGTTTCAGTTCTTCATGTACTTTGAATAACTAGTCTTTGGTTTCATTGATTTTCTCTATTGCTTTTCTGTTTCATTTTTAAAATAATTAATTAATTAATTTGCATTCATTCACTGTACATCAATACAGTATACAAAATGAGATTTTTTCCATCCAGAATGCACTGTGTATATTGGCTCAATCAGGGGTATTACCATACGTTTTATCGTCAACAAATAATTATCCATTTTTTGTTTCTTAAATATTTTGCTTCCCCCCCACTTGATTCCCTCCCCCTCATCCTCTGCCATTTCCTACCCTTCTCCCACATTATCTCTGGTATCTACAGTTGTTTTCCATGTCTGTTTTTTATTACCACATTTTATTGAAAAGATATGGAATGTCTAATGAATTTGTGTGTCATCTTTGCACAGGGACCATGCTAATCTCTGTATTGCTCCAATTTTAGTATATGTGCTGCTGAAGTGAGCACTTCTGTTTAATTTTTTTAAAAGAAATCTTTAATTTTTAATTTAACTTTATTTACTTGCTTTTATTTGACTAGAGAGGACAGAATGAGAGAGAGCGAGAGTGAGAGAGAGAGAGAGAGAGAGAGATTTATCAAGCAACCCACCAGATCCAGGACTCGAACCATGGTCGGCCATGTGGGAGTCCAGCGCCCTTAACCATCACACCACCTGCTGGCCCTTTCTGTTTTATTTTTTAAAAACTGATTTTGCTCATTATTATTTCCTTCTCTTTTCTCATATTAGGTTTAATTTACATTTTTTTTGAGAGGTTTTCGCTATAGGGCGCGTGCGCTCGCCAGACAGACAGAGAGAGACATAGAGACAGAAAGCGAGAAATCACCCCCCAGTGGGGATGGTTACACCGCAATCCCTTCTCCTCCATTCTCCTCTCGGGATCTTGGGCATGCACGCACACGTGCCCAGCGTGAGTTCTAAGCCACCAGGTCTGGGACGCAAACCATGGTCGACAACGTGCGAATCCAGCGACATAGCCATTACGCTAACTGCTGGTTCCCTACAATTTTTTTATTATTTTTTTTAGTTTCTTAAGCTAGGAGTGCAAATTAAAAATTTGTAATACACTGTAAAGTTATATGTAATCCAATGTAATTTAAAGAAGATTATGATGATAATAAAAAATAATAATAATTAGAATAATAATTATGATTGGGAAAAACATAGAAAAATTATTGAATGATGAAGCAGGGAGATTAATGCCTCTGTATTGACTGACATGCATGACATTCCCTTTTAAAAAAGCAGTGTAATACACTGTAAAGTTATATGTAACCCATGTAATATAAAGAAGATTATGATGATAATAAAAATTAAAACTTAAAAAAAAGAAAAAAATTTGTAATCTTTCTTCTGAATATAAAAACATTTAATGCTATAAAATACCCTTAAAGAACTGCTTTTTTTGTAACCCATTCATTTTGATTGATTGTGTTTTCACTTCCATTCAATTCAAAATATGTCTTTATTTCAACTGTGAATTATTTGAAGTAAGAGTTATTTAGAAGTGTGTTGTTTAGCTTCCAAATATTTGGAGATTTCCCAGATACCTTTCTGTCATTAATTTCTAATTTAATTCTTTTGTAGTAAGAAAATTTTGCAGGATTTAAATACTCTTAAATTTATTGAGACTTGTTTTATGGCTATTGTATGTTGTATCTTGGTCATTTGCTTGAAAATAATTTGTATTTTACTATATGGATGGTTTGATTTATAAATCTGTAAGTGTTTATACATTTGTAAATCTATATATCTGTAAATATCAATTAAGTCAAGTTGGTTAATAGTGTTGTTCAAGGCTTCTATATCTTCACTGATCTTCTGTCTACTATTTGTATTAAGTACTGGAAGAGGAACACAGAAATCTCCAGCTACAATCATAGATTTATCTGTTCTTTCAGTTTTGTGTTTTTAAATAATCTATTTTTGTTTAATTTTTGTTGTTGTTTATTCATGGTAGAACTTGTGTACACACACATGAAAAAGAGAGAGAAATAGAGCAAGGAAGCAAGAGAGAGAGATATAAACATTCTCCACAGGGCCTGGTCATGCAAGTCCTTTAGCCTACTGGATTTGGGGCACTTACCCATGTGCCAGACGTGTTTCAGGCTGACTGGGCTGCCAAGTGGGATCTGACTTCCTCTGCATGGTGCTTATCTGCTGTGCTATTTGAGAGCCAGCCCTTTACTTTATTTTGAGTCTGTATCAGGTGCATATATATTTAGGATTATTATGACCTCATGATGGACTTATTTCTTCATTTTGTCTTCATCTCCAATAATACTTCTATTTTGACATCTACTATATATGATATCAAGATAGTCTCTCTTGCATTTTATTAAAAAGAAATGACAAGAGGGTGTGTTCACTTACGGAGAAAGAGAAAGTGCAAAAGCACCTCCCATGGGGGATGGTCACACCACGATTCCTTCTCCTTTAGTTCTCCTTTTGGGATTTTGGACACACATACATGCCCAGCTTATTTTTCAAGCCTCTGAGTCGGGACTTAACTTACACTGTCAGTCACGTAGGACCCAGTCACCCTAACTACCATGCCACAGGCTGGCTGTCTTCACCTTCTTAATGAGTAATGTTGGCATGATATATTTTTGCTTTACTGTAAAAAAAATTATTTAGCTATTTAAAAACTTTTTATAACTTTTGGTTATAGGGTATGTGCACTTGCTGAAGAGAGACAAAGACAGAGAGGAAAAGGGAGAAATCAAAACCCAGAGGGGATGGCCACACCGCAGTCCTTTCTTCTCCATTCTCCTCTTGGGATTTTAGGCATGTATGCACATGCACCTGGCATGATTTTCAAGCTACAGGGTCTGGGGCTTAAATCGTGGTTGGCCATGTGGGACCCAGCCACCTTAACCTCCATGCCACTTGTGGGTCCTAGTATCTAGTTAATATATTTATTAACAAATTAATATATTTATCACATATATCTCTGTTTTGTTATTGTACCTTTAGTTTTGTGGTTAATTTCTATTTTTTTAATCATAGTGCTAATATTGGCATTCACCCTCAGGGTACTTTCTTTCATATTTGTTTACATTTCAACCTCCTCCAGCTTCCTGTCCTTTTACAGTTTTTGTTTGTTTGTTTCTGTTTGCTTTTGGATTTTTTTTTTTAATCTAGAGGTAGACTTTGTTTTATTTTTAAATTCCTAGAAATTATGATTCACTATATTTTAGAGACAGTGTGAATGGGAGTTTGTGTAAATACAAGACACACACACCAAAAAACTCTCAACTGTCACATAACCCCAATTAGAAACCACTGATTTAGAGGAAATGTGTATTGTTTACTGATTAGCAATATGTGGGAAAACAATCTTAATCCCTATTGATTAGCATTTGAAGCAACTGATAAAGGTATTTTGAGTTTTTCTTTCTTTCTTTTTTTTTTTTTTTTGGAGAGGTTTTTGCTTAGGGTGCATGCACTCGCCAAAAAAAACAGAGAGAGACAGAGAAACAGAAAAGTAAGAAAACATCCCCCAGGGAGGATGGCCACGACACAATCTCTTCTCCTCCATTCTCCTCTTGGGATCTTGGGCATGCACACACATGTGCCCAGTATCAGTTTAAGCCATGGGTCCAGGACTCGAACCGAGGTTGACTACATGGGAGTCCAGCAACATAGCCATTGCACCAACTGCTGGTCCCGAGGATTTTTTAGTTAAATGACTTGGTAGACAAGGTAAATTAAAAACTTATTAAAGATTGTGGGCTCTTTACTTCATCCATAGTCTTTTGTTGTGAGTTAAAAAAGAAAAAAAAAACCAACAACTTATGCCTGGATTGGAAGACTTAATATTGTTAAGACATTATTCAAAGCAATAACCAGACTCAGTGATATCCTTATCTAAATCTCCAATGACATTTTTCACAGAAATAGAAATATTCATCCTAAAATTTATACAGAATTTCAAGAGAACCTGAGTAGTCAAAGCAATCTTGAAAAAGAAAACAAGTTAGAGATCTCACACTTGCTGGTTTCAAAACTTAATAATAATAATAGTAAGATATAATAATAAAACAGTATGGTAGTGGCATAAAAACATACACACCAATGGAATAGAATAGACAGTTCAGAAGAAATTATGTGCATATTGTCAAGTGGTTTTCAACATGAAGCCAGAATCTATTCAATGGTGAAAGAAAAGTGTTTTCAACAAATTTTATGGAATAACGAGATTTTCTCACACAGAATCCCCTTATATGTAGTGATATATAAACATTAATTAAAAATGGGTGAAAGATCTAAATTTAAGGGATAATACTATAAAACTCTCAGAAGAAAACATAGGGTAAAATCTAAATGACATTCAACTTAGAATAAATTTTTTTGAATATCACATCAAAAGCATAGGCAATAAAATAAATAGAATTTTATACCCAACCAAGCCATCAATAAATCTTGAGGGAAGAATAAAAGCACTTTCAGACATCTAATTTCTTAAAAATTACATCTCCCACTCTTTCTGAAGAAACTACAGGAGGTTGTATCCCAGCAAAATAATAGAATACACTAAGAAAATAAAGTCAGAAGAGCCAGACACTGGAATAAGCAACACGAGATAGAAGCTAAGTTCACTCACAAGATGTTCGTGACACAGATACTCATGGAGTGCCAGAGAGCCAGACCAGTCGGGAGCAGTAGCTATGCAGCTGCGAAAGAGCTGCATAAAGACATTTTCAAGAGGGGAAAAAAAAAAGGGAAATAAATTGAGATGTTGACTTTTTTTAGAGAGGTCCTACAGTTCTGTGAGAAAGTTTGGAAAGAATTAGTTATTATTGAGAAAATAGCTAAATAAAAATTAGGCGGTAATGATTCCAGAAAGAACTGGAAAAGGAAATGTCACCAGAGTATACTGCCTGGCTCAGATTTGCAAATGTCCTAATTCAACTCTGTTAGAAGACCAGTAGTAAGAGGGGAATAGTTCTGTGTGGTAGTATGTAAGAGCACTTGCTTTTCACTTTTCATAGTAGAAAGTCAATAGATAACGTTTAAGTTTGGTTAGTCAAGGAAGCAGAATAAGAACAAATTATTTAGATGTATGCACTTAAATACCGGAAAAATCACTGCAGAAATTGCAGGTGTCTCAGGGAGCATGGGCGAGTGGGACTGTTAGCTTGCATGATACATTTTTGATTTTTAAAATTATGTTTAGAGTATTCCTCTGGTTGAAGAACTGTTTTCAAAGTATACAAGTGCATAAAGATGTGCTGTAAGGATGTCCATCACCACATTGCTTATAGTTGTGTGACAATTGCTATCTATTTGGGGAGAGATTTTGAGTGTATATTTTATAATCATTTCGCAAATGAAAATAGTACTCTAAAAAGACAATAAAAGGTACGTTTGTGATTAGTGATCAAATGGATTATTAACTCATTTTGCTGTAAGAGTTCAGGAGAGGGAGAGAACCTTCTGGTTGGGA